CTGGCCCTGGTGTCGGTGCTGGCCTTCCTCGCCCTGGTGTCGGTGCTGGCTTTGCTGGGTGTTCTTGTCCCATTCCGGGCTCGGGACTTGCTGCTGGACTGTTTAGAAGCAGCTGTCTTCGTACTTGCCCACTTGGGAGACCTAGAACTGCTTGGGCTTGTGACTGAGTTAGGGGCTGTTGATGGCTTGGTGGGCACTGAAGCACTGTTGGTCTTTGCCGATTTGGTGGTCTTCAAGGAGGCGGGAGGCTTGGGAGGCACGGGGGACATCGAGGGTCCAGTGGATGCTGGAGACGTGCTGGGCTTTGAGGGTCTCGTAGCTGGAGAAGGCATGGTAGGTACAAAAGGGCTTGTGATCCTGAAAGTCACAGTGGACATGAAAGACTGGTAGCCGTGGACAACCACCTGACTGCCTCTCACAGGCCAGCTGCATGAAGTCATAGTGGGCATTGAAGCCCCTGGAGGGTGGGTGGTGTGAAGTCAGTGGTAGGAGGAGAAAGAGGGGTGAAGGCCAGAGGGGTTGCCTCCATGTTTTGCCGCCATTCAGCGAGTATCTTCTGAGGCTGACTGGGGATGCAGCGTTGCTGGGGACATGGAGATGGGTCAGACCCAGGTCCTGCCTTCCCGGAGTCTCCAGGTCACTATCCAGGTGGTCAGGATATGTTGGGGTTTGGAGGCGGGGGCAGGGGCAGAAGTTCCCAGACAAGCGACACTAACTACCTGAGGAGGCATGGAGGACCTCACAGAGGAGGTGATGTGTGAGCTGGGACCTTAAAGAGGAGCAGGGGTTTGCTCTTAGAGAAGAAAAGGTCACCAGGTGGGGGAAGAGCAGAGCCAAAGGCCTGGAGCGATGGGGGAGATCAGGGCCTCGGGCCCCCCTTGTTCACTCGACCCGCACGTCCTGGGCTGGGCAGTGTTGGGGACCCCAAGATGAGTCAGACCTGCCCTCAAGGGGTTCCCAGTCTGATGGGGGAGACCTGTTGGGGCCCAGATGGCTACAGCCTCTAGGACAGTCACAAGGGGAGACGCTGGGCCAGCAGGAGCCAGGGTGGAGGGAGCCACCGCCATAGATGACAGAACCTGTTCAGGGTCCTGAAGGATGAGTAGGAGGTCGCCAGGTGGCCAGAGTGGGGAACAGCCTTCCAGGCAGAGGGACCAGCCCATGCCGAGGCCTCAGGAAACATATGTTAAACGGCAGAGGGACAGCAGGACAGAGGCAGAAACAAGAGAGAGCTGCAAGGAGGGACATTAGGCCAAGATTTATAACCCATTCTTCTAAGCTGGGTGATGCCGGGGACCCAGCAGTGAGTCAGACCCGGCCTGCCCGCCCTCTGGTCTGGTGGGAAAGGATTTTGTACCGGCACAGCCCTCAGGGCTGGGTGAGGACAGCCAGAGGGCAAAAGAAAGTGACTGGCTGCCTAGGAGACCTGGGACAATCTCACTGAGGAGGGAGGCTTCCTACGGGGTCCTAAAGAATGATGTGGAAAACCTGGCTGGGCCACTCCCAGCAGAGGGAACAGCACATGTGAAAAGCCTCAGAAAAGGTTTGACAAATTGAATGAACGCCAGGCACAGAGAAGGTGTCCTGGATGCTCAGGATGCAGCAATGAACCAAAGTCCCTGCTTTGGGGGACAGGCAGTAAACACATGAGTAGATGTCACCTACAGTAAGTGGAGGAGAAGAACAAAGCGGTTAAGAGCGTAGGGGGAAGGATTGCTGTTTAGACAGTGTGACCAGGGTGAAACTGAGAAGGTGACACTTGAGCAGACCTGGTGAGGGGAGGGAGCAAGCCTTGTTTATCTGTAAAAAAGGTAGCAAAGGCCCTGAGGCAGGTGTGTGCGTGCAGGGTGGAGGAGCCCCGAGGAGCCCAGTGTGGCTGACTCAGTTCTCACAGGACCCTTCTGGGCTGGAGGAAGAGGGGCCAGGATGGACACAGGGCAAGGCTGTTGCAGTCCTAGGGGATGCTTTTGGCAGACCTGTGCCGCTGTGGTGGGGACTCCCTCCTCCCAGACCCAGGCTCTGCATGCACTGGTGTCACCCTTTCCTGTATGGCGTCTTCAAATCTTTTTCCTTTTTTAACCTAAACTTGTCCTAGACATGTTCTGCATGCTCATGAAATCACAGCAATATATCTGTACTTGCAAATCAATATTTTCATTCACTCAACTGCACACACACACACACACACACACACACACACATTTATCACACATATCATATATGTATGTGTTTTAATTTGCTTGAATCCTGTTCAGGTGTTTGTCTTCCTAAAATGATCTGGCGTAGGCCACTGCCCGTATTTAGCTTTCCCTGTTAGAGCTGTGTGACTGGAGGCGAGTGAGTCGCCTAACCGCCCTGTAGCTCAGTTTCCCATTTATCACTTAGGGATGACAACAGTACGTCCCTCAAAGGGTTGTTGTAAGGATTCGGTAGGTTAATATAGAAGAACAGGGCTCTTAAAGTAGCAGTGGATGCTGTTACTGGTACTGTTTTTATTACTGTTACTTTGTCCTTCTTAAACCCTGGAGATGCAGTTCTTGCAAGACATTCATCTGCTTAATACACAGACACTGAGTGTCTGCTGTGTGCCAGGCCGTGTTCCATGTGACAGGGATTCTTCCATGGGGAAGGGCAGGGTTGTGTCCTGGCTGTCCCCTCCCTACTGTGGTGAGTCTGAATGGGGCCCCGGGAGGGGCACAGCCCTGTCCTCACATGCCTCTGACTCTCCCTGTCCATCCCCCTACAGGCCCTGAGCATTCCTCTGACTCTGAATACACTCTCTCAGAGCCAGACTCCGAAGAGGAAGAAGATGAGGAGGAGGAGGAGGAGGAGGCCACTGACGATCCTGAATATGACCCTGGCTACAAGGTGAAGCAACGCCTGGGGGGGGGCCGGGGGGGCCCGTCCCGCCGGGCCCCCCGTGCAGCCCAGCCCCCGGGCCCCCCAGCCCAGCCCTGCCAGCTCTGTGGCCGCTCACCCCTTGGGGAGGCCCCACCAGGCACCCCACCTTGCCGGCTCTGCTGCCCTGCTACAGCCCCCCAGGAAGCTCCAGCCCCTGAAGGCAGGGCCCTCGGGGAGGAAGAGGAGGAGCCGCCTCGGGCTGGGGAGGGTCGACCAGCTGGGAGGGAGGAGGAGGAGGAAGATGAGGAGGAGGAGGGCACCTATCACTGTACGGAGTGTGAGGATTCCTTCGACAACCTCGGGGAGCTGCACGGGCACTTCATGCTGCATGCCCGGGGCGAGGTGTAGGCAGAGCCCCCCACCCAGGGAGCTTGGCTAAAGGGGTGGGGTGGGAGGAGGGGGCTGAGGAAATTGGGGTGGTCGCAATGGTCATGTGGGACGGGGTACCGCCGATCTGTGTCGTCTTAGCAGTAGATGTGTGAAGGCCAGAATAAAAGCCAAATTCCGTGTGTGTCGGTCCAGCGTGTTTGGTGTGTGTGTGTGCATGCATGTGTGTAAACGCTTGAGTGTGCTTGAGTGTGCGAGGCACGGGGCCTGGGGCATTTATCCCTCCCCCTCCCCCCTCCCCTGGCTCCTCCCTGGGGGAAGCTTAAGATCACTGTTGCCAAGACTATTAACATTTACTAAGGGCTTGTGTTCAGGTGGCTTCTGTATATTTAACTCATAGACCCAATGACTTACAACACAACGGTTTTGCACTCATGTAATAGAGTCCAGGGTGGGTGTTTCCAGTAGGTGGGCAACCCTTCTCCATATAGTGATTTGGGAACCCAGGCCATCCCTTAAGCCTGCTGTCGTCCACGTGGTCATGGCTGAGTGGCCGTGGCCTGGGTCCTGCCGGTGGAAGAGGACGGTGAGCCTGGAGAGGTACACGTGATCTCGGACAGGCCCCCTGCCTGCAAGTAGCACAGCCTGCTCCTAGTTACGTTCCTTTGCTGAGAAATTCGTCACATGACCACAGCTCCCTGCAAGGGAGTCTGGGAAAGGCAGGTCTAGCCAGTGCCCAGAAAGCAGAAAACGGTTTGTGGAGGACAGTCGATGTTCTCTGCCACTGCCTGAGAACCTTTACAAAGAGGACTTTAATTATAATCTGAGCTGTGCTTCCCGGGTGCCAAGTGCCAGTCCAAGAGCTTTATATATATTGAATCATAGAAGTTGTGTATCTAGGAACTTACAAAAATAGAACCTTAATTATAATTACAGCTGCCATTTCCCCAGCACTTCCAGAGTGCTGCATTTTATTTGCATGAGATCATCAGGTCCTTAGAATAACTCTGTGAGGAAGGGATTGTGATCCATTAATTCATTTAAGCAGTATCTTCTGGGTCCCTGCTGTATGCCGAGCATTGGGAATTTAGCAGTGAGTAACATAAAATCCTTGTTCTCCTGGAGCTTACATGGGGCTGAGGCAGGGGGTGGGGGGGTGCAGTGGGCAGGGCCACTGGTAGAGACAGATAGTAATCAAGCTGGAGGGAATGCTGGGTGGTGGTAGATGCCATGGAGAAGAATAAAGCAGAGAAGGGAGAACACTTCTGGAAGGCGGTTGCCATTTTAAATAGTATAGCCCTCCCCGAGGAGGTGACAGCGACCAGAGAGAGCGAGGGGGCTGTGCACTTGGGTGGGAGGAGGCAGGAGCCTGCCACCTGTCAGGGCAGAGCTGGAAGGATGAGGGCAGAGGGGAGCAGAGGGCCAGCTCCTTACAGCTCTGTTGAAACCTTGGCTCTCGCTCTGAGAAGGGACGTGCTACTTCATAGAAGTTTGGCACCAAAGCTCCTTTGAAAATAGAAGCCTAATTATAATGATAGCTGCCATTTATTGAGCATTTACTGTGTGCCAAGCCCCGTTCTAAGGCGCTTTACGTGTGTTAACTCATAGAAGCTTGGCAACTAAGAACCTTCAAGAATAGAACCTGAATGACCATAATGGCCATCATTAAATCAGCACTCACGGTGGACCAGGCCCTGTAAGCGCTTTGTATGGACAATCGCATCGGATCCTTATGAGGTAGGGGCTGTTATTTATTCATTCATTCAACAATGACGTATTGAATACCTTCCAGACGCAGGCACTATTCTGGGAGCTGAGAGTAGAGCAGTAAACATGATGAACAAGAATCCCTGCCTTTGTGGAGGTTCTATTATAGAGAAGACAGAGACTTAGATATTTAAGTAAAATATATAAAAAGTATAGAACGTTAGAAGGTAGTAAGTGCTGTGAAGAGAAACAGAGTGGGTGGGGAGGCTTGTGTGTGTGTGTGTGCGGCAGTTCCAAAGAGGGTGGTCGTGGAGGCTTCAGGGAAAGGGGGACTTCAGGCAGAGATGGGGAGTAGGGAAGAGTGGGGCCCCTGCACTGTCTACAGGAGCGGTGAGTGCAAAGGCTCTGAAGTGGGGCCCTACTTGGGATGTTGGCGGAAGAACACTTAGGGCATGAGACCCGTTGCTGAGGAAGGCAGGGGAAGACTAGGGGAAGGACAAGGTCAGGGAGAGGCAGAGGGCCGGGCCCTGCCGGCTGTTCTACCAGTTTGGGCTCTGCGTCCCATGTCTGAGTCCTCGTCGTAGCCCTTAGAGGCACAGGGGCTATTATCGTGACCATTTCACAGCTGCTCCAGCTGGGGCACAGGGAACTTGACTTAGCTGCTACAGGTCGGTCACACGGCTAATAAGCAGAACGCAGCTGTGATTCCAGACGACTGGATGCGGTGCGTACCTTCTTAACCATGAAGCCACATACCAGAAATGGCAGCCTGGCTCTCCACAGCCACCGTCTGACTGGCCAGGAGCGTGTTTCTTCTAATCATGTGGGTTACCAACATTTAAAACTGGGCAGATTTCACCTCAAAAGGGAGGTTTTTTGGCTTCCCTCGAAAATCGTGAGATCTCGATCGCTGAGCCCACAATCCCAAGGAGCAGTAGCTTTCTGGAGCTGAGGAAGGCTTACCTCCTGCTAATGGGCGTTCCCTCCCACGTGCCCATTCCTCAGCATGTGGCATCTGGACCCCTCACACCTTGCCTGCTTCACTGCTTATGGTACCCTGCTTGGCCACAAAGAGCGTTTGCATCCTGATGCCTGTTACAGGATCTCATACCAAAGCATCTGTCAAAGCCCACACTTTTCATCCTAGAAGCTCAGAATCTGGGAACCTGACATTTATCCACTCTTTGAATTGAGACTTTCATAACCATCACAGCTTAACATCAATGAATCTCAGAATCGTCAAGGCAGAAATTCACAGCTCGTTAAAACACCACGGATGGATTTTAGTTCCTGGAGCAGCATGCTTAAGCCCTCTTCTGCCCTGAGACAGGGCTTTGTTTGTTTGTTTGTTTTTTAAACCAGACTTTATTTTTTTAATGCAGTTTTAGGTTCATAGCAAAATTGAGGGAAAGATAGAGACATTTCCTGTGTACTTCCTCGCCCCCACACACGCATACCTTCCCCTGGCATCCACATTCCCCACCACAGTGGTCCGTTTGTTACAACTGATGAGCCTATATTGACACAGCATAATCACTCAATGTGCATAGTTTACACTGGGAGTCACTCTTGGTGTTTGTTGCACCTTCTGTGGGTTTGGATAAAGCGTAATGACCTGAGTTCATCATTATAATATCATAGACTTTTCACTATCCTAAAATTCCTCTTGTGTTCATCCCCCGACGCAATCCTTGGAAACCAATGATTTTTTTTTTTTTTTTTTTTTTTTTTTTTTTTTTTTTTTTTTTTTTTTTTTTTTTTTTTTTACTTTCTCCATAGTATTGCCTTTTCCAGATTGTCATATAGTTGGAATCATAAGACAGGGCTTTCTAAGCATAGATGTAGAGAATTATCTGTTCATCAGGAAAAATTCCTAAGGATATGAGAGGACTAGGAATCAAGAGACATAGTCTGCTGCCAGGGTCGGCGGGGCGGCGGGGGTCATTCAGTTCCCCAGGGCCTGGTTGAGCTATGGAAACCAAGCTAGGAATTCCAAAGAGAGGATTGAACACAGGGGATTGGGTGTGCAGCTGGTTGAAGGCTGAAAGCACAAATGTGGACAGTTGAGGCCCCCAAGATATTCGTGTCTGCACAAAGCTCCCACCTCTAGGACTGGGCACAGAAAGAGAAGGGACATTACCAGAACCCAACAGGAGTTTGGAGGGACAGGCCATGTGCGGCTGTACCTACACCACAAGAGAGGCACGGTACCTTGTGCTGAGGGTGTAGAAATGCACTGGAGCCTGAGCCGCTGCTGTTAGAGGGGTTCCAGCAGCCCAAAGTGAGGGGAGTTCCTTCCCCCTCTTTCTGTCTACCTTCTGCCCAGACCTCTCTTGGGCAGAACTTGAGGAAGACAGCTCTGGAGGGAATCTGGGAAATACAGTTGCAGAAAGCCCAGCATTACAGAGCATCTTCGGGAGGGCTGCAGGCCGAGAGACTCTAGTGGGCACAGTCGAGCATTTTTTTTGAGCCTCTGCAGTGAACATTGTCCTAGGTACTGGGGAAGTGAGGAAGACACACCGCCTGCCCTCAGGAGTTTGGATTCCAGAGTATGGACACAGATAATGACACGCACAAGCGGGATAGTCCCAGGTGTTGAAGGGTGCTAGGAAGAAATAAAGCCAGGGTGAGGTTCAATGGTGCTACTTTGGCCAGGCAGGTCAAGGAGGACCTGTCTGAGGAAGTGGCATGTGTAGAGTCCTGAATGATGTAGAGACAGCCTTGTAAAGTTCTGGGTTAGAGCACTCCAGGCAGAGGGAACAGCAAGTGCAAAGGCCCTGAAGCAGAAGCCAGCCTGGCATGTGTGGCTGGAGTGTAGTAAAGGCAGAGCAGAGAGGGAGTTGAGACTGCTTAGCGGGTGGCGGCCCCATCATTGTTGGATTTTCTGGGCCTGGGTAAGGTGTCTCTGGATGTTACTTATGGAATCTCTTTGGAGGATTTTATTTTTTTTTTTTATTTATTTATTTTTTTCAACGTTTATTTATTTTCGGGACAGAGAGAGACAGAGCATGAACGGGGGAGGGGCAGAGAGAGAGGGAGACACAGAATCGGAAACAGGCTCCAGGCTCTGAGCCATCAGCCCAGAGCCCGACGCGGGGCTCAAACTCACGGACCGCGAGATCGTGACCTGGCTGAAGTCGGACGCTTAACCGACTGCGCCACCCAGGCGCCCCTAGAAGATCCACTTCCATACTACCATGTAAGAGAGAAATAAACCTCTATCTTGTTTAAGTCACCATTATTTTTGGTCTCCGTCACAGGCAGCGTAACTTACAGGCTGTTTGCAGCATAGAACAGCAGATCTGAGTCGTTGCAACAGAGGCCGTATGGCCCACAAAGCCTAAAATAGTAAAGGGCCATCTGGCCCTTTATAATAGAAGCTTGCTGACCTCTTGTCTAAGTGATAAGACATACAATCTACTCTGAGCCTGGAAACTGGGATTCCCACCCTGGGAAATACTACCTCTGGTAGGGGGCTGTGTGTGTGTGTGTGTGTGTGTGTGTGTGTGTGTGTGTGTGTATTTGTTTGTACAAGATTCGTGCAGGGCTAGCTAGCCTGGATCTCTTTGCTGGGGT